CCTGGCTGGGCTAAGGGGACAGCAGCTTCTCTGCACCCCTTGGAAACACCTAATGATATGGAGATGGACTAAGGCCAGGCGAGAGATTCTGGAAACATTGCAATTTCACCCACACATGTATATGCCAAAATGATAGGAGAAAGTTGAGAGAAGCAAAATTCAGGGCATGCTGGAGAGAGGAAGAAATTGAGGACCACAACTTAGAGAATAAAAACCAAAGACAGTATCACATGCATGTAACATAATGTAAAGCCAAGTAAACCATTTAAGAGATGCAAAAAGAGGGAATAGTGTTTGGGAGGTAGCATCAGTATTAAAATTTGGTACATATTAAATTTGTATAGCTATTTAACTCCTTTGACGCTTAAAACAGCCCTGTGATAGGTAATATAAAAAGCAATTGATAAACTCTAAGCTGTAACATAGACCATAGTCTTTTTGAGCCTTTTTTACTCCATCTTTATGTAAGCCAGATGATGATGGATTCACCCTGTCCCTTTAAATGTGGCCACAGTGGTGCAGTGCCGAAATCCCCTGCACAATTGGAAGTCTAGTGGCTTTGCTAGAATTTGAGCGCCCCCACTGAACTCCCCATGTAATTGACTCTCACCTCTTCCATTTCTCTCTCTCTGTCCTGCATCAGCCCAGACAGGGAACACAGCCACTTTTTATTCATCTCAGAATCACTCAAGAAAGGCATCTGTGTGTGTAGCAGTTGCTACCAAAGTTTTAGGGGACTCGAATCCTTTTCTTTTTGATTGTGGTAAAATACTGTCTTACTGTTTTGCAGAGGAACAATACCAATAGAATATATGTAGACATAGAGAGAGTTGTTATTAATGGATTGCTCACCCAGTTATAAAAGCTGAGAAGTCCCACGATCTGCCATCTGCAAACTGGGGTTCTAGGAAAGCCGGGGTCCAAGCCTGAAGGCCTGAGAACCAGGGGAGGCAAGGGGACAAGTCCTAGTCTGAGGCTGGAGCCCCCAAAACAAGGAGAACTGACTTCCAAGGGCAGGAGAAGGTGAATGTCCCAGCTCATGGAAGAGAGAATGAATTGACTCTTCCTCCAACATTCTGAACCCTGTGTTGCATGCAGGCCCTCAATGGATTGTACGGTGTCCACAGGCCAAGTTGAGGGCGAGCTTGCTCAGTCTAACCATTCAAATGCTAATCTCTTCCAGAAACACCCACACAGACAAGCCCAGAAATCATGTTTTACCAGTTCCTGGGCATCTCTTAGCCCAGTCAAGCTGACACATAAAATGAACCATCCAAGTTTACATAACACACAAGTTACCATTTTAACCATTTGAAAGTAAACAATTCAGTGGCATCGAGTGTATCCACAATGTTGCGCAAGCACCGCCACGATCAAATGGGTTTACGTCACAGAGGTTTGAAGTGGTATCAGAGAGCCCTTTCTTACAAGGCATTTGGCCACCCACAGTGCGGCTTGAGGTCTCCATAAACACAAATTACTTTCCCTTCTTCTCCTTTTCTCCTGTTTTTTTGTGTAGAACAATTTAGTCTCCACCTGCGAGTCCCCAGCCTATCTTAGCATATCAGGTAACTCACTAATGTGGTCTGCGGGAATAAAGGATCGTTCATGCCGTGGTTCATTCTTCAGTAGAACAGAGCAACTAACAGCAGGCTGGTGTTTCAGGCCCCCTTTCTGCTTAACCAGACTCCACAAGTGAGAAGAAGCTAGAAAGGGGGTTGATGATTTCCTTGCGGCTATGATGGCAGAAATATTCATCACCACTCTAGGCTTAAGACAGAAAATTGTGGCTAACAATTTCTAAAATATAAAAGCTGGAATACATTCTCTGAACCATGGAGCTAGGAGTGAAACCAAGCCAGACCTCAGCGTGAGTTCAGATTGAACTAACGGGTCCATTTATGAAGGTGAATCCAAGAGGCCATAATTGGCTCAAGCCTGAACTCAAAACTCAAGCCTTTCCAACCATCCCCTCACCTTCCAAAATGGGTTGATGACCTTTCTCTGTGTTCTCTGAAGAGTCGAAATTTTGCTCTGTCATAGGATGTAGAAAATTAACCCAAAAACTAAAATAAAGTGGGATGGTTTTCCTATTGAACTTTAAGCCTCTGTGATCTAGCAGCAATGTTAATTCCATCATAAATGGCAGTTCTCAACCAGAGACATTCCCTATACCCCAGAGACATCTGACAATGTCTGGACACGTTTTTGGCTGTCAAAACTGGGACAGGGACTGCTACTAGCATTTAGGGTGCAGAGGCCAAATGCTGCTGCTAAATGCCTCACATTGCACAGCACAAAACCCCACAATAAAGAGCTCTCTGGTCTAACGTGTCAGTAGCAGTTGAGAAACCTTATCTTAAATGTTATTCATCTGGCAAATACAAATTAAGCACTGTGTATGCATCATGCCTTGTGCCTATTTCCTTACTGTGATTATTTTTGTGATAATAGACAGCACCCAGTGAGCACTAAGGGGTACAGGGTTCTTTGTTAATTCTTCACATATATAATATTATCTTCTATAATCTTCACAAGAGCTCTGTAAAGTCACCACCTCAAATGGCACAATGGAAGCTCAGATGGGTTGAGTAACTTTCCGCAGGCAAGACAGCATCTGACTTGTGTTTCCTGATTCATAACAATTGCATACAATTGCCTGCCAGATAAAGAGCAATTGGAATCACAGTATATACACGTCACAGGGCTGTTATAGAGATTGTTTGTGTTCCCTTGTTGCTTGTAAATAATGACTCCACAAATAATGTAGGCTTTCAGGCTAGATCTTGAGAATGACCTTTGTTTGAGAGTGACCTTTTAGAAATGCTAGATGGTCACTGGAGGTAAAAGAGAAGCCCAGAAGTCTAAAGAGGGGCCATCATCAGAGGGGATCTCGATGCCAAATCACTCTCCAGGAATGGTGAACTTTGTTGAGGACCCTGTGCGGGGAGAGTGAGTGTGTGTGAGGGTGTGTGTGGGTGTGTATTGGGGGAACGAAACTTAATGGACGGCAGAACACCAAGAAAGAATCCTGGTAGATGTTGTTGATGACAACAGCCTGGACCCACTGATAGAAGACACATCTCCATTTCTTAGAATTTCAATCCACCCCATTCCGTAAATATTTCTACTTCTTCACCCAGGTGAAGACTACTCTGTGCCTTCTCATTTTGCCAGGATCCTCTGAAAAGGAGTAAATATGTGAAGATCTTAAGGGTAAGGATGGTGCAAAGAAATGGGAAGGAACCAGGAAATCTGGGAATCCCATTTGACTATGATGTGGGTCTGACTCCAAGTGAAGGAGAGAGGGAAGGATAGTTGAGTGGGAGCATCTTAGACTTCTGTGCAATATAAGGAATGTTCTGGAGGGCTACTGAAGAGGCCTCAAGTCAGAGCCAGCCATCAGAGGAGTCTCACGTTTCCTCGGAATGGGCCTGTCTTCGTATCACTGCTACACCCACTACGGGCTAGGAGCAGCCCAGTGGAAGTGTGGCTCTGGCACAAATGCAACAGTAGAATTCAATGCATGGCAGCTGGGCCCTTGGTCAGCTACCCTCCCTGTGACTTAATGTTTAAGGGGAGCATCTCAGGGCTGCCACACTAGGCACTTTAAAATGTTTAGCAAAATATACAAATCCTCTGCCTTCAACTCAACTAGATATGCATATATTCAAACACATGTCCTTTGATCAAACAGCATGTCACTTGCCTGCCCTCTGAACTGCACTTGAGCATCAATTTGTGGTATCAGCTTAAAACCAATGAGTTAATCAGGTGATCTCCCACTCCACCCCACCTTCCTCCACAGAGTCCCATTATTTTGTTTTGTTCACTATTAAAACCCGTATCTCAGCTTTGATTGTCTGGCCCTCCTGTTTCTGTAGCCACTAGGCCCAGGATCATAAGCTATAAACACCGTAATCATGTGTAAACAATATGTCTGTGAGGTGAGCTCCAGGCAGAGGAGGTGGTCCGATTGTCATTCCTCCCGTAATGGTCCCACACGTCCTCCCCATGGAGCGCAGATGATGGGAGGACAAGCCCAAGCTGCCGAGCCCTGGCCAGCCAGCTGGGAGTCCTTTGGTGGGACCTGAAACAGTAACCTAGCAGGGAAGATGGAGGGGCTCTCAGGATCCTACCTGGGCGCTCCGTAGGTGGCTGCAGGGCACTTGACTCAGAGCCAAGAGAAGCACCTGGCTCCAAGCTGGCACGGAGCCAGTTTCAGAGGGTAAGCTTGCTGTGCATGACGGTGTCTGGACTCGGTTCATGCTTTACTGTTGTGCATCTCTTTAAAACTAATTCCTCAGTGAAAGATGTTTGAAACCTAAGCCTCTCCATCCTCCCTCCCTATTTTATTTTCAGTCGCAGGCACTTGTCTCTGCTGAGAATCAGGGAGAGTCCTGCTTGTAAGCAAATCCCTGAGCAATGCCAGCTACAGCTGTTGAAATATGGATGCTACCCCCAGGTCTGGAAAAAACTAAGGAAAGAGCAAACCTGTCCATTTTCCTGAGCATCCACGGCAGCACCTACAGCAGGAAATGAAGAAGGGCTGGTTCTTCAAAAATGTAAGAACTGGCTTCCAAACATGTACATGGGCTAGCGTGGTGGTTCTCAACACGTGGACCCCAGGCGAGCAGGACCAGATCACAGATCACCTGCAGATTCATCAAATGCACGTTTCTGACGCACCCATCCCTGCTGGATCAGAAGCCCTGCGTGGGACACTGCGCTACTTTGAACAAGCTCTCTGATGACTCTGATCTTCACTGAGTTTGAGAATCCCTGCTCTAGAGAGACTGTTTTTCCACCAATGACTAAACACAGGACAGTTTGTTTAGTTATGTAATCCTAGCAATGCCTTATCATGGTGTAGGATAAGTGTAGAGGGTATAATGGTAAATAAAGAGACATGGGCCTTGTTCCCATGAGCTTATCTTCTACCAAAGAGAACTGATATTAATGAAATAAACACACAAACATGTGTACAGGCCCCCATTGTTTAAGGTCCTTTAATAAAATGTACAGACTCATCCAGGATGGGCGATTAGGAAGAGCTTCAGGGAGGAAGTGGTACTAGGGTTGGGGAGTAAAGGGCACTGAGATGTTACGGTGGCAGACTTCGGAATGGAGATAGCTTTTCAGACAAAGGAAACCACCTATGTCAAGGCCTTGCTCCTGGGTGAAGGTGACTCATTTAAGGAACTGATGGCAGATCACGGTGGCCGGGGTGGAGAGATCAGAGGGAAGAGGATTATGAGACAGGATGCGTTAAAGAGACTTGGAACCCTGGTAATTGTTGCTCTTCATTACAAGACCCCCGGCATCCACTGAAAAGTTTGAAGACGTGCAGACGACATGCGCAGCTCAGCATTTGGAGAAATCCCACTCCGGTTGATGTGTGGAGAATGGACTGAGAAGGGACAAGGGTGGAAAGTCCAGTGGAGTGTCCAGGCCAGAGATGGGGTAGGGGACACCAGGGAGGTGGAGGAGGAGATTTAGAGACATGGCAGGAACTGGGAGGTATTGGGAAGAAGACATCACAAGTCTTGGAGCGAGGGAGACAAAAATGTCCCCAATGACTGCTCTTTGTGGGGTACCTAGCTAGAGGAATGGGGATACCATTCAATGAACTCACGTCTCTGAAAAGTATCAGGTTTGGGATGGGGTTGGGCATGAAACACAAAGAATTGAGCTTTTAAAATGCTGAGTTTTACCTGTCTTTGAGACCCAGACGTGTAAGCCTGGAGTAGGATCTCTGAGAAAAGGCTTGAGTTTGGGCTGTAGACATCAAAACGTCAAGTGGCTCACACATCAATGTCTCAGGGCTGATGCATACCAAGTAAGTGTGTAATGAGAAGACAGTAGGTTTCAGGATCCATCCTAGAGGGACAGAAGTAAGTATGACTCACGTAGGGCAGCAGTTCAATAAAGGCTTGTACAATACCATGAGGAGGAAAGAAGGGAAGGAGAGAAAAAGAGGAAAAAATAAGAGTAGAGCACAATGCATTGGGATAAAACTCTGGCTCCGCCATCTGAAGGAGTTCCTTACTCCTTCCAAGCCTCAGTTCTGTCATCTATAAAGTGGGGGGAAAGTAGTCCATACCCCATACAAATATTGCGACAATTATATGATGTAACATTTTGTGCACAGCAAATGCTCAAAAGACCTTAGAGATCATGGCCCTGTGCAAGGCACAAGAAAGACTCTTAATATTACTTACGGGATTATTACATGAATAAATCATTGGTGGAAAAATCTTATTAATCTCCCTTTTCACAGAATTATTTTTCTGAGATCCAGTTTATAGCATTGGAATGGGAGAATGGGGAAGGGAGTGTGTTTTGAGTTTTACGTTCCATCCAGTAAACTGAGGCATTCATTTGTCACTAAATACATTGGAAAAATCTGACACATATTTAAAGGACAAACCAGACTCTTTGTTACGTCACTGTCCTCTAGGGAAGTATTACCCTGTATTATGTACATCAGGATGGATTATACCAATTACTCCATCTGATCTTACGGTACACAACCTCATCACTTTTAAAAATCTGTATTATTTTGGAAGGTCCCATCTCATTCAGAACTATTATCACTAATGCAGTTTTCCTATAAAATTAAAATGCAATTATCAGGACTTGTAAAAGACTCCAAAGTGGCTGGACAGATGCATGTGTTTCTAGGTGACCTGGGACCTATTTTTTAACAATAAAGAAAGCCAGAATTGTCGCCAGAAGGCACACTTTAAAAATGACTCATGGCATTATTGCACCTTTGAACAGAAATCAGTATATTCCTAGGATCAGTTGAAGGAATTTTGCTTTCTGTTCACTGGGCCCTCTGAGAATATAGGAACAATATACCATGAATGCCATATTCTAAAATACGATGAGGATTATTAACTCCGAAGATGTCCCTGGCCAACAACCATGAGCTGTCTTTACCTTGAAGGCAGTCTCAGAACCAGGTATATTGCCTGAAATCTCATAAATTACAGGGTATAATCCTAATGAGTGATGCAATCAGACAGGGTGTTTATCAAGACTCCATAAGCCTCTCTCTAGAGATTCATGCACCATCCCTCTGAAACACACCACTCTTTACATTTTAACTGTTGTAAAATAAGATGTGCAATTAATAAAATCTTAGAAAAAGTGATGATAACAAGAAGAATATACAATAACTAGGATTTAGTAGGTGTCTGCTTTGCACCGGGAGCCATGCTAAGCATTTGTACGCATTAGTACCCTGGAAGCTGCAGAGCCATGCTAAGCATTTGTACGCATTAGTACCCTGGAAGCTGCAGAGAGCCTTCCTGACTCCAGACCAGGTTCTTAAGATGAAGCATAAGAACTCTTCCTCTCTGTTGAAAAATGAAGTCAAGGAAGATCATATATAGATAAATAAAGGTAGATATGAAAATGTTAAATGTGAAACAAAAATAGAACATTAGGCATCATTATCATTGTTATTGCTAAGGAATAAGAAAAATGATAAAAATAGAAAATCTAGGACAGTAGAAATTTTGGAAACTGAGTCCAATTGTTTCTGTGTCATCCTCATGACTTCATTTTTTTTTTGCAAAATCTGTGTCCCTCTGTGTTGTCACATAACTCAATTCACTTTACAAACTTCAAAATGATTTTATCTCATGTGGACAGATTAAAAGCTTAAAACATTAGGCCATAAACAGTTTTAGAAGTTCTGTGTGCCCCTGAGAACTTTCTGGGGTGCCAGCGACGTTCCGCATGCCCTGCACTGGAAACTCGGTTTGGATGACAGGGAATGTGGGGGGGAAGACAAAGGAAAACCAACAATGGCTTCCAGACACGGTGGCTCCAGACCTCTCATCTCCAGCATCTTTTTTCAACATCCCAAGGAATCCCCATAGGGCATGACTGGGTTGCCTGGGAAACTCTGGTCTGCATGAACTGACCACATGTCACCCTGTGACATATGGAAGGGCCCGTTAGCTCCACCAAGGACCTGTCACACACATCACCCTGTCTGAACATTTCATGCACAGTGAGCTCTGAATTTAAAATTCAAAAAGTTATCTGTCAGGAAGAGAAGGTATCACAAGAGAAAGTGTGAAGTGTTCTACATTCAACAGTGGATTTGAGGACATGTGACACTGTGGTCTCATGTATACAGGCAAAAAAGTAGGCAGCAAAGCCCAAATGTTTGGTTTCAAAAAAAGGAAACATCTAGCCAGTTCTGCCCCAGTGTCTTCTCAGTGGTCCAATTAATCAAATCAGAATAGACCCAGAAATGGTAGTCACTTGCCAAGTCTGCAGAAAAATATGTCTGATTCTGATTATTAAATAAACAACTGCCCAAAAAGGAAGTATTATGGAGAAAAACAAACATTTTCTTCCCCTGAAATGTAGCATTTGAACTTCTCCCATGAGCTGGTGGTAGAAAAAGACTATGCTAGCTAGAAATTGAGGCTCTATCCAATCCTATTTTATATCAAACATAAGATACCAACATGTCTAAACTGCCTCTTAAAATTTTAAGTGTTATTGCTTTGTCTTACTTTTAAAGAAAATAATTATGACATATTCTTGGATGTTAAAGGTTGGGTTATATATTTCTTTACAGAGTTCTATTAGGTTTCTCTTAAATGTTAAAGCTTCAAATAAAATGCTAATTAATTCAATTTTGATTTCATAATCTTTTCATGATTCTTTATGCCATAAACCAGAAGGCTAGTTTAAATAACCTCAAGGCGGCCTTTGTTGGAATAAGAATAGACAGACTTAGAGCAGATTTCCAACCTTAAGGGCTACTTACTTACCTGCAGAATGCCCCAGGCTGCCTCTGTGATCTTTACAGCCATCACATGCAAAGGGGTAACAGTTCACATGATTGTTGAGAATATAAATGAAATCTGAAGCGGGAACTCTGTAGTTGGACCAAAAAAACTTGGCAAGATAATACATCAAGTTCTCAACCAAGCTCTCCTTTTGGGAATGTGTGGAGGTGTGGAGGTGTGGGTTGGAGATAGGGGTTCGTACGTGGTGTGATGAGGACTCCCATGTTACATCTTACATGTTTTCAAAATATTTGAATGCATTAAAGGGAACATGCCTCATGTATAAATGTCAGTGATTAAAAAGCCATTTAAGAATAAAAACAGCAAGAAGACACAAGGTGCCCATTGATTCACCCTCTAAACCAGGTGAAAACAAGTGGCGTTCAATGCCCATGTCCCACCCCAGACCTGCTGGCACTCCGCCGAGGGCTGACTTGATTCTAAAGAGATCTGCACAGTGGAGTAATTGGAATGACAGCACCTCAGATATTCTGGCCCATCCATGCCTCAAATTGTCTCATTGAGCAGCTTGATATCCTTGCTTGAAGAACTAAAAAACAGAAAAGAAAAGGAAGAAAATGTAAGTCATTCTGCTTAGTATAACTATGGTCACAATGCTATTACTCTTGATCATTAACATTTGTTGAGATTTTTACAACTATCTCAGGATGGTGCTGAGTATTTTTTTAATGAACGTTTTCTTTTATGGTTTATACAACCGTTTGAAGAAAGCTTCTCATCTCCATTTGCAGGTTGGAACAATGATACTGAAAAGGTAGTGATCCTTCTTGGCTAAAAGACTCAAGGAATTCTTAGTATGGGTAGGGATGGTGCAGGTCCTTGAGCTCAACCTGTTTCTGAGAAAGAGATTAAGGACTCTTTTCCACAAAGCTATGGTAGATGACCCCCTATTCTTTGCTTAAAAAGCTCCAGTAAGAGGAAATTCAAGATTTATGTGAGCAGATCTTTGTGCTGTTGGATAATTCTACTCATTAAAACTTCTTCCTTAAATTAAGCAGAAATTGGTTGCTCTATAAAATTGCAGTAAATTTCATAGTTCTTGTATCTGAAAACCCACATAATTAAGTTCTGTTTCCTCTCCCATATGCTAATGCTCAAAATATATGAAGACTATGCTTATAATCCTTAATAAATTTGGATGGCTTCTCTGGAGGAGAAATCAGTTTAGGTTGAGGTAATTTACATTCCTGGACTTCAGATCTCAATTTGGCCATTTGCTAGTCATTTAGTGCAACTTCTTTAAACTCTGAAGCTCAATCTCCCCATCTATAAATTGCTGCATGCAGGGCCCATGTCAATGGGCTTTGGGGGAATAAAATATAAAGCTCCTAGTATAGCATAGTGCCAGGCACACAATAAGAATATAATAATTGTTGGCTTCCTTTTTCCTTTCACTTTTTAGTTGACCTTCCTCAGATTTCTCTCTAGTTTTTCTATGAGCTCCTTGAAATGTGAAGCTTCCGTTTAGACCCAATACTCCAGATGTAGTCTGATGCACAGGGAGGCAGAAATGTCAGACCTCATTACATAAACACTCTGATTTTTTTACTTAAATGTCCTCATCATTCCAAAGATCTTTATTTGCCTTGGAAATGCATGAAAAAAATCAGACCTCTTTTCCCTGCTTGCTAACCAGGTCTCCTGTCCGCCATGATAAACGTCCTGATTTTACTATTAGCTCCAAAAGTAAGACCTCCGTTTCTCCCTATTGCATTCCATTTTCAACCATTCCTGCTTGTTGATCTCAGTGTCTTGGTTCAGTCGTCTAGGCTATTAGCAAGCCCTCCCCATTTTGTGGCAGCTGAAAATGTGATAAGCATACTTTTAACCCAAGTAACTGATAAAAAATGACAAGCAGGACAGAGCCAGAGAGTGATCCCCATGTCACTCTGCAGCAGACCTCCCACCAAGTTGACAAGAAGTCATTAATCAACCTCCTTAGTTTTCCATGATTGTGTTCAGCCGTCCCACTGCCATGTCCTAATCCTACACACACAACTGTCCGGGAAACTTTATCAAATGCTTCTCTGAAACTAGCATGCTTTGTCCCCTGGTCCACCAGCCTCACAGTAAAACCATAAATATCATATGTGGGGTTCTTTGGCACAAAAACACAAATCACATTTGTAAAGGCTCCTCAATATAATAATCGGCACTAGGCTTTTTAGAGAAAAGTATTTCTCTTTAAACAAATTAAGTTACTCCTTTGGTTTCCAGAAGTGACTTAAGAAGATAGTTTCCATTTTAGAACATTTGGGTGTTTCTAATCTAAAGACGTCCGTCCTCCTCTCTAACAAAATTCAAAAGTTATAGAAAATTACACTAATGCATCTTCAGCCCCCGGGATTGTTTTCACAAGCCCTGAAGGAAGACGTCTGCTTTTATATGTGTGATCATTATCTTCTTCCCTATCTAGGAAAGTTTCCGCTTTGCAAAAGTTTATTTGATCTTTCCTTTGCTGTTAGAAGACAGAGGCCATAAAACTTCATTTCAGACCAGCAAGGCTGAGGAATGCACATCACATAAACAGCACCTTGTTCTTTTATCAAACAAGTCTTAGCTCTTCTTCCTAATGTCATTTGTAGTTTGTTATCTTGTGAATCGTGAAAATTGGTTTACAAAGCTTTTAAAGAAAACTTTCCATTCATACCATTTTAATACAGTCACATTAGGCCAATAACCTAAAGAAATCATTCTTTCTTTAGATGTATGTATATTTTCCCTACTATAATCACTGATATGCTTTGGCATTGGCATTTTTAAGCTATTACCAAAACATACCCTAGTTTGTGCAGCTACATATTCTAGTGGTAACATCGAAGCAAAGTTTGAGATATCAGCTGCCTGGACCATGATGTAGATCTTAATTTTTAAACTTAGTGTTTGTATACATGTGAAAAAATATCTTGCCTATACTGACAGTCCCCGACTTATGGTGATTCGACTTGCAATTTGTCGACTTTATGGTGATGTGGACTCAGTATAATTCAGTAGAAACATACTTCGGATTTGGAATCAGATCTTTCCCGGATGGCGATACACAGGACGATACTCCCCTGACGCTGGACAGCGGCAGTGAGCCAGGCTCCCAGTCAGCCACGCAATCTAAGGGTCAACAACTGATACACTTACAACCATTCTGTCCCCAGGGAACCATCTTGTTTTTCCCTTTCGGTGCAGTACTCATGAGATAGTCAATGCTTTATTATAAAATAGCCTTTGTGTTAGATGATTTTGCCCAACTATAGGCTAAAGTAAGTATTCTGAGCACGTTTAAGGTAAGGCTAAGCTATGAAGTTTCGTAGGTTTGGTGTATTAAGTGCATTTTCAACATCTGATGTTTTCAACTTACAATGGGTTTATCAGGATGTAGCCCCATTGAAAACTGAGGAAGATTGGTAATAGTAAAGAACTGCTTTTTATCTTTTTGGATTATTTCCTTGATATTAATGTCCCACACTTCAAGCACTGTCAATCATAACATTTACAGTCTTGGAGTTCATTATATTTTATGTTCTATTTGAAGCAACATGAGACAGAAAATTGGGTGGAGTGAATGAGTATCTTCATTCCCCTTACTGCATATTACTATTTATGTTTAAAGTAATTTATAGTGCTACCAGTCATGCACAAATATGTTGTTTAAAACTACCTGCATTATATATATATTGCTAATTTTTCAAGTGTTCTGTCCTAATAGAGATTCTGGTCTTCTGTACTTGTGCCATCAAACCATACACTTGTGGCTTGTAGATATCAAGACAGTAAACGAATTGTGACATTTGTTTTATCAGTGTCCCCAGTGGCAAATTAAGAACGAAATCAATCTATTTAGTTTTGATCCTCTCCTTTTGAAACAGTGCAATTAGATTTTGGGATGTGGCAACCTTACGAATTATTTTGTATAATACCCATCCAGTACATTTACCACACGGTTGTCTCTAACTCTAACTTTATTACAGAACGGAATGTATGTATTGTGTTTTCCATTCCAGAGCTGATCAGGGTGCCTGCCACCTCACCCAGCCAGGAATGTTGCATAGACCAATGATGGGAGCTCTAAACTTTGTAAAAACATGCAGAAGATGAAACAGCTTTGCAAATTCACCTCATTTGTCTGCCATAAAATAATTACTGAGAACGCATTTGTTCCAAGCACTGTAGGTGCTACTGTTGAGACAAAGATGAGTAAGACATGACCCTTACATTCAGAGACATGTAATTGAGGAGGGGTAATAAAGGGAAAAGAAAAGAAAACATGGAAATGGGAGACAGAATATGGAAAATGCTCTGAGGGTATAGAATGCTGTGGGTGAAGGTTGGAGAGATGATTTGGGATTTCAAACTCCCTGTTTGGGGTCAGAAGGGGTGGGGGAGTTCGCAGTGATTATAACTTATCAAAACCCCAAAGAGACATTTCTTCTGCTGCTCAAGTTAACAGAATACCAAATAAGGCTGATTCTTAGGGAATCAGAAATAAACTCTTCTCCCTCGAGAAGGATCTTCTACCCTTTGTTTTTGAAAAGCTGAGATTGTGCTGAGAAATGCTACTCCTTGGGAGTTGTGCTGTGGGATAATGCAGTGTGTTTGGGGTGTGTTTGTTTTTGGGTGGCACTTTCCCAAGGAAAAATGTCTGTTCTGGGGTCCAGAAGGGCTCTGAGAACTGGGCTTGGTTCCTTTCAATCCTGCAAGAGTGGAATGTGACTTGTACGCTGAGCCACCACAGTGTTTTGCTCTCCAGCACCAGGAATGGAAAGCCAATTTGTCATTTCAATTTTCAGCAGGCAAGCCCACCAAAGAACAAGCATTTTGCATCTTCTTGTTTCTCCTCTGCAACCCAGAAATCCCACCGTGGCCAGCCCCAGGGCTGAAGAACGGAATGTATGCATTGTGTTTTCCATTCCAGAGCTGATCAGGGTGCCTGCCACCTCACCCAGCCAGGAATGTTGTTTATTGATCTTAAGTCATTCTGGGAACCTGAATTCCAGGGCAGCTTGTCAAAATACTGGTCAAATTCATATGTCATTGCCCTCCTGTGGCTGCCCAAGATTCCACAAAATTGATACATCATAAATAAATAAAAATTGCACCCTGTTCTTTACTCTTTACCTTTTCTCCCACTGGTTTGCAATGAACTACTGAAGATTCATCTTCAAATGCATAATACAGTTTGTTTCCAAGGGAAGTTGGGAGTTCTGGGTGTGATCTTGGCTCTGCCACTATGAGCAAGTGGGCTCCATTCAGCTGTGTGATGTCCTATGAGGTGATAATGGATTTTCTCCTAGATCTTTAAATAACTGGTCCTTTGTAATCATTCAGGTACCAGGGGGAATATCAACTCATCAGAGAGGGCTTCCCAGATCATTCAGTTTAAATAGACTCTTTCTCCCACAGCCACTCTCTATCCTATTAAAGTCTGGCATTTAATTTAAAATATTTTTTAATTTGTTTTTTATCATAGAATTTGTTACTGTCAAATATTACCTACTTTATTTATTTTCTGTCTCCTTTATCAAGAAAGTAAGCTTC